CAGAGAGGAAACCAGTCACTGGGTGGCTTGGTGACTTCACATGGGAGGAGGGGTTGTGGCCCTGTGTGCACCAGCGTCCCGGAAGGAGAGAGCCCCACTGTGTGTGCACCGCCGCTCAGCCTCCAGAGGGTGGGCCGGGCGGGCCCCTGGGATCAACTCCTGCTCCTTTGGCACCTCCATTTCTTTTTTTGGTTTTTTAACTGTACCAGGGATCAAGCTCAGGACCTTGCTCTTCCCTGGCAGGTTTGGGGCCCCTGAGCTACATCCCTGGCGGGCACCTCCATTTCAGCTGCCCCCCAGATGCCGGCAGAAGGTCACATGGGCAGGAAGTATTGTGTTTTCAGCTCCATTTTCTTTTAATTCTCATTTTCTCAAGAATGATAATTGAGGGCCGGGGATTTAGCTCAGTGGTTTTGCTGCCTGCTGTGCAAGCACAAGGACCCAAGTTCGATCCCCGGTACCAAAAATAAATAAATAAATAAATAAATAAATAAATAAATAAATAAAGGAATGATAACTGAGTCGGAAAGAGATAGAAGAAAAGAAACAAGATAAATTGAAAATTAAATGTCCTAAACATCTCCATTTCTTTAAGTTGCTTAGTTTGCTCAGAAAGACCGTAGTGAAATTATAAAGCTTTTGTAGCTACCTGAGTAACTGAAAGGAGATGTTCATGTTACAGAACAGGTCACCTTTAACACTGCAGGGTCAGGCCTAAGCGTGTAGGGCTCCAGCAGGAGGGGAGAAGCAGGAACCTGATGCTGTCATCCAGCCTGTTCCGGGTTGTCCCGGCAATGGAGATGCACTGGAGGACCTAAGAGTTTGTATCCTGAGCCCTAGAAAGCTGGGAGGGGATGAACACAGGGAGATGAAGGCAGGCTAGGAAACCCAGCTGGGAGATGGGGCGGGGCGTGCCTTAGCTTGGGTCTAGAATGTCTCTGAGAGGCCCATGTGTGAAAGGCATGGTCCCCAGCTTGGTGCTGTTAGGGCTGAGACGGGGCCTGTCATTCAAGGTGTGCCCTCAAAAGGGGAACGGGAGTCCCGGCCCATCCTGTCTCTCCTTTCACTTTCTGCCCACTATGAGCTGAACAGCTTCCTCTGCCACACACTCCCTGCCATGTGTGCTGCCTCACCACAGGCCCAGAGCAGCAGGGCCGATCAGCCATGGACTGGAACCTCTGAAACTGGGAGCCTCTGAGCCTTGCCTCTGTGTAGGTTGACTGTCACAGGCATTTGTTACAAGAATGAAAAGCTGACCAGAGGCTTCCGTGTGGGATACTGAGTGATCCCTTGGTAAGCAACAGGCTGTTTTGTGTCAGACCTTTTGCGTCTTTCACACACACACACACACACACACACACACACACTCCCTCATCTGGTTGGAGGCGCATGGCATCCTTTTCCTTGACCTCTCAAGGTCAGGCAGAGGAGACAGAGCTCCTCCCAGAGCACGTGCATCGTGCTCTTCAGCAGCTCTTGCCAGTGCGGGCCTGCTGTTTGCCTTGCCTCACAGCACAACAGCCCCAGGCACCCTTTTTGCAGAAGTACCTACCTCAGCGCTGCGGAGCTCAGATGTCACAGCTGTGAGTGCACTGAGCAAAAAGCCGTAACTCCCCGGATGCAGCTGCCTCCCTTCACTCCGGGCAGTACAGCTCACCAGGGATACCCGAGTGGCCTGGGGCTTGGCACCAGCTCACTCACTGCTCGAACTTAGCCAGTCAGTTTCACTAAACCAGTTTTCTTTTCTGTAAAATAGGAGTGAGATACCTCAGAGCATTGTTGCCCGAGTGCACCGAGCTGATGTGTGAGAGGTGTGTTGCACAGAGCTCTGCACCTCATCCCCAGTTTCTGACAGTTCACGGTGAGGCGTCGCCATTCGTGTCTCCGTGCCAGGATAGTCGTGCTTCCCTCTCGACCACTGTGCTTTGGTGTCCAGTTAGTTCTCGCTCTCTGCTTCCCTTGCCCTGTTCCCCACCACTCCCTCCACACACACCATACTTTTTCATTTTCCTGTTTAGGGTTCCAGGTGCAGAGTCCTCTGGTCGATCAGATGTGTGACCTGTCATTTATAATCTATAGGGACCAAGAAATACTTCAAGCCAGTGTTCATAAACGTATTAGATAACCACATGGCACACTTATAAGCCAAGATTTTCATAGAGAGGCCTTCCGTGAATACAGCCTGAAGAACTTTGAAAGCTAAGCAAAGCAAAGTTTTTAAAAGACTTGATGTAACTTGTCAGTCATAGAGAACTGAAAAATAAACTCAGATGAACGTAAGGGAAATGTGGAATCCTCACTGTTACCCTGTCTTGAACACTACTTTTGGGTGAGGTTGCTGGTATATCCATGGGTGCTGTGTGCCCATCATTACCTGGACATGAACTGTCTCTTCACACTGCGGTGGGTACAGGGGCCCTGTGTGGTTCACCCTGCTCAGCTTCCTGTCAGAATCTTCCTGCATGAGGGAAGCAGTGACTTTTCTGATACTGAGGACTCACCAGGCTGGCTTCTGATTGGAGACATTCCAAGCTTTAATTGCCTCACTCAGGAAGTGCTAGGTTCTTCATAGAAATAGTCCTTGAAACGTCAGGCAGAAAGGAGCAGCAAGTGTAACGGTGACACTGTTGTCAAGGAGACTGTAAGGCGGGTCCTCTTCTGCCTGCTGTCCTCTGGCTGACTCTCCCACATCAGTTTTCCCTAGACTTGCCACTGTAGTGTGTACTGGTGGGAGTGTCCCAGCGAGGTTCCTCCGTGCCCGGGGGGCTCTGGGCTAGAGCCCTGGAGCAGAGGAACAGACCTGGGCCACCTTCCAAGCCTGGGTTTCTGGGTTTCTCAGCCCCGTTTCCTGCCCTGGGGAAATGCTGAACAACATGCATAGTGACTGCCCGTGACACTTCCTGAATGTCACTTCACCAATTTCCTGTGGTCAAGTGTAGGAAGTGGTTCAGGGAGAACCGAAGTTAGTAACCCTCTCGCTAGGTAATGAATATTAATACTTGCAGGTGGCTTGTACTTAGAGCAGGTTTTCTAGGGGGAGCTGAAGCAGGGTTGTTGCTGACAGGGCCTGGGAAAAGCTCGTTTCCATGACTGGCTGAAGTGACCAACTCTGGCAGAGAGGTCACAGCGCGAAAGAACCAGCAACTGCTGGGCAGAACAAATGCATACCCATCTAAGACCAGGCCAAAGTAAATTTTGGTCTTAGGGGCTTTCGAGTCCTTAGAAGTGGCTGGAATGAGCAAAACTGGAGAGATGGGAAGAATAAAATAAGTGACATCTGTGAGCCACAGCTCCCTGCAACATTCAAAACAGACCCAGGACAATCTCTGCGAAGTGATTCAGAATGAAATCAGCAGATTTGGGTTGTTAATGACCTACTCTCTGGAATACCACATTGTTTTTCTCTTTAAGGGTTTATTTTAAGGTGGGCGTGGTGGCACTCCCGGCAGCTGAGGCAGAAGAACCTGGAGTTCAAGGCCAGCCTTGAACAAAGTGAGACCCTGTCTCCAAAAAAAAATATTTTTAACTGTCTCTCTATAAATCTTGGTTAAGTGGTACTGTTATTTTAGTGAAGGCCAGTTTTTTTATAAGGGCAGTTTCACCTGTCTCGTATCCAGAGCATGGATTTAACGATGGATGTAGTAACACATCCAGAGAGCACCCGACACCATTTCCCAAGCTGCCTTGCCTCGCCGCCTGACCCCTCTGGGCTGTCTGGTCCACGTCCCTGACACGGAGACCTGATGGTGCCACTCTGTTGTATGAGCTCCTCCGTTAGCTCCCGAGCCTCAGAAGACAGTGCCTCCTCCTCAGAGTGCTCGGTGCACTCTCCCTCTGCTGCCCACTCTGACCTCACCCGACCTGCCAGCTCCCCCAGGTGCCACGCTCTTTCGTGCCGGTGACTTTGCTGGGTGTGCTCCCTACAGTGTCCTCCCCCAGCTCGCAGGCTCCACTGGGGCTCGGCTCTCTCTGAGGGACCGTCCTCCGCTGTCTCCCCTCACCTGGCTTTGGGTGGCCCTGGGCAGTGATCCCATCTCATTTACCCTCTTTGCCAGGTCCCACCACAGGAGAAATGTCCCTGGACAGACTGACGCCTAGGTGGTGAAGGGTTTGGGGGAGAAAGCGAGGCCAGTGTGTCACAGACGCTCCGAGTCCCCTGCTTCCAGCTGAGGCCGGGCATGACTTCTGCAGTGATGACAGATGGCATAGGGTCCTTAAAACCCAGGCCTTAGGTGCTGTGGGATTAACACTGTCTGCCCTTCTGAATATAAGCTTTCACTTTTGTTGCCTTTTAAAAAAAAATGCAGAACTACAGCATAGAAATTTTTCAGTGAAGCACAGCAGCCTACAACTACATGTATATGATACCTATCCTATATATAGCCATACGACCTATATAGGCAATATTCCTATGGATCATATTCAGATATAGGAAGATAAAGGTCATAATAATGTGACAAAGAATGCTCTGTCTCCGTTCAGCCTTCCTGTTGTCACCTGAAGTGTGATTACAGTACCTCCTACTGAATTCAATATACTCTCCTGTTGTGTGGAACATTTTCTTAGAAATGTCATTAACTCTCTTGGAATACTGATCACATTTTATCAGCTACATTGAAAATCCTGAGTCGGATTTACCATTCATTCAACAAACATGTTCCATATGCCTGCCATGTGTCTGTGCAAAAACATTAACTTTATTAAATGTTCACCATGGCTGTGCTGTATTAACTCTTCCTCATCCTCACCTGTCCCTCTCAGCCCTAGCACACATGACTTTGCTGGAGATCTGCTACACAAGGGCCTCCCTACACGGGTTTCTTTCCATCCGATCCTTGTACTGCAGCTCCATGAGCTGTGATCCTGCAGCCTCCGTGAGGAAGCCCCGAGACAGGTGGGTCCAGGTAAAGTGCTGCATCGAAGAACTGTAGCCACCGGGATCATACCTGTGTGTGAAGGAGGAAGTGTTTCCTAATGGGACATTCTGTCTTGTCTTTCAGCTTACGTTTTACTATGGAACTTCAGACTCTTGGTGTCCAACAAAGTACTATGAGGACATAAAGAAAGATTTTCCAGAAGGAGATATTCGACTCTGCGAGAAAAATATACCTCATGCCTTTGTCTTCCGTTTTAGCCAAGACATCGCTGACATGATTGCTACCTGGGTAAAGGATAACCTGTCTAAAATATAAATACCGATGCAAGAAACAAGCACCTGCAGCCAGTCCCTGGGTCAGTAGGTGTACTGTGTTTAGTAGGTAACTTTAGTTTTGATATTAGAAAAGAAAAGTTAAAAACCTCTTGCCTTAAGAGCTACCAGCTCCCCATGCTACAGGCTGCAGTGAACAGTTGGTGAACAATTGCATCTGTGATCTGAATGAAGACTTCTCTGCACAAGAAGCCCAGTGACACCCTACAGTGTGAGTTAGTCAGCAGGATCCTTGCCGACGAAAGAAAACCAAAGTGATTTGAATCGAGGCTCCCTGGGGGAAATGATGCTGTACTGACTAAAACAAGTGAAAGAGATCAGTGAGTGTGAGGCGTGTGAGATGGCAGCAAGGACACGCTCATCTCCGGGAGCAGGAAGTGATGAGCAGTGGCGACTGGTGGTGGACCTGGGTTTCCTTCGAGGGTGAAAGATCAAAATCCTCCCAGAGCAGCGCTGCACAGGCCGTGGCTGAGACCCTCAATGTGACTCGTGACCTGCCTGCATTAGACCAGAAGTAAAGTTCCCCAGACGGCACTCACCGACCCGCAGGGAGAGCCACTGAGGGCCCCGCTCTGCCCCTTGCTGCGGGGCAGCAGCAGGCCGTGTGCAGACTGTAGCCTGCGGGCAGTGGGCTCCCTGCAAGTGTCTCTCCTCCAGAGCCAGCAAGAGGAGGCCCCAGCTGTCCCTGCTCAGACGGGACACCTGCAGTTGCTCCTTCTAACTCGCAGTGAACTCCTGAAGGGTGGCTGTGAGCTAAGTACTACGCCAGCCGTTGATGACAGTAATATTCTTAGCTACTTGTGATTCTTCTGAAAGTCTCTAGTACATAATTTTTGGAAAGGTGTTTTAAGTTGCCAAGTAGAATATGAACACAGTTTTTTTCTCCACTTGCCTTAACTTTATTTGTTGGAAAGAAATTGTTTTGCCAGTGCACCCAAGTGAGCCATGAGGTGGCGTGCATTTTCCTTCCCTGGACACACTGAGCCCTGTGGAGAGGCAGCATCTTCTCTGGCGGAGAGTGGGCTGCCAGTGCGGCTGCCTTCCCGGAACTGACTCAATCTTGAAATCGTAGGGGCCGGTAAGTCCCACCAGCTGCAGAGACAGTTGAGGATGCGTTGAAGCATTCCATTTTCTCCTTCACAAGCACCCCCGGACATTATCATTCCTCAGGGACAGTGCAGTGCTGCCCTTCCTCTCGACCTAAAGCCCCTGATGGAAGACTCACCTCTGGTATGCTGTCCTTTGGTGATGACCTCTCAAAGGCGAAAGGCTGAGCCCCAGAGGAGGAGTGCTGTCCACAGGGAAGGACCAGGCCAGAGGGACGGGGCTGCATGTGGTCCCATGGACATCTGCATGGCGAGGCCTTCTGGAGAGCTGGCATTCGAACGAAGCCAGACTCGCGCTCTTCTGCTCGCAGGGAGGAGCTGCCACCAGCACACAATTAGGCACAGGAGCAAGTACTGGTAAAATCACACCTACTGGAAGGAAATAACACCCACAGCTGGCTTTCTAGATGCTATTTTATAACATTCCTCTGTATTTAAAAAATCTGCACATGGGAAGTTTTGTTTTTTAGAGTTTAAAAATGATACTCGCTCTTAGTTCCTGTTTGTCATCTAAACACCAAGTGAATTTTTGAAATAAATGCTTTAGCAGCACTTAGGATTCTGTCTGGCCTGATCCGTGTGTTGGGGACGGGAGCGGGATGGTCTGAGCAGGTGGCTGAGTTAGGCTCTGGTTAATGTGGAAGGCTGCTTTCATGTTGCTTCTTTTAGAGAGGGAAGGGGCCGATTTCAGGAGGCCTAAGCTCCCTTTGCTTGGAATGACACAGAAGACAAAAGCTGATAGACAGTGGATGAGACCCTCTTTCCAGAAGCAGCTCTGCCTGTGTGTTCGTCAGCACATGATGGGCTTTGTCGAACATGGAACTCCTCCTAGAACCAGCTAGTGCTGAGCGAAAAGCATCGAGGGCCGCCCTTGGCTTGAGCCACGCTTGCTCCCCGTCCGCACTGGGGCCCAAGAGACACCCCAGAGGGTCCCCCGCAGCCACCACGGCCTGGTGTGCAGGACTGCAGGGCCCTCTTGCCATCTTCGCTCCACTCCACCATGGCATGGTCTTTCTTCAGCATACGCTGTATTACACTAAGACAGTCCTGGATTGTGGGACTAAAGAAATACGGCAACTTAACACAACAGCTGGGTCTGAAACCGATGTTTTTGTTATCAAATAAATTTGCACAGTTTGGGTGGAGCCTGAGGATCAGCTGGGCATAGGATCCCAATGTTAATTTTCTGACTTCAGCAGTTGCACGGAGGAGAAGGAGGAGGAGGAGGAGGGCCTCTAGGGGCCGTGCCAGTTTACTCTCCAGTGCTTCAGGAGAAGATAATGTTCTGTGTTCTTGGAAACTTTTTGGAATTGCAAGATGGTTTTGGAATTTATACAGATAATTCTTTTTTTTAAAAAAACACCATGCTTTCTCTTGCATCTGCCTCTCAGTGTTTCTTTTCCAGAAAATAAATTCCTTCTAGACAGTAAATGGACACCTGAGTCCATATCCCAGACCTGCCATTTAGTAGGTTTGTGATGCTGCATAAAGACCACACCTCCCCGAGCTCAGCCCCTCAGATGGAAAACTGGGAGAACATCTTTACTTACCTTAGGTTTTTGTTTGTGGGGAGGATTTTTTGTCTTGTTTTTAATGGAGAAACAATGAGGTCACACAGGTAGCATTTAGCGTCTCTGCAGCAGCCGTGGAGAGGTTCAGTGGTGAGGTACGTGCCGTGGGTTCTCCACACTGCCCGGTACGATGGCTCCTGTAAGACCCCACACCAGCTGGCACTGTCTCACCCAGCTGTGCTTGATTCCTTTCGCTGTAGCATTTCTGTTTCTCTCGAAAGGTGACAGGGCGACCCTGCTCACTTGGTGCAGCTTCCCGGCCTCGAGCCATTCAGCTTCCCACAGATGCCTGGTGCTTTCGCATTTGACTTAGAAATGATGCCGGAAGCTTGGGGCATCCTTGTTCCTGCCTTCTCTTGCAGGCAGAAGAGGTGGGGACATACGGGTTGCTCCTTCCCTGAGAAGAGGAACTAGAGGAAGGGTCAGGCTAGAGCTAAGTGCACTTTGTGAACAAGTACATCTCTGAGGCCTTGAGCCGAGCCCTCCTGAGCAGGGGGCAGAAAAGCTTGAGTGTCGTCGTTGCTTTGCAAGGGGACTGTGAGTCCTGCCTGTGCCCCATACATGTGTGCAAGTGGTCACTTTAGTCTGGGGAAACAGCTGTGGGACTTGGTCTGGCCACTCCCACCAGCCCAAAGCTGTCTCCAAGCAAGAGTGGTGTGTCGCTTAGTGTGACTGGGCACTGGTTGGCACAGTTATGAAGAGCAAGCTCCGGGGGACAAAGCAGGAGGTGGCTGCGCCTAGGCCCAGAAGGACAGGTGGAACTTGGATGGTTTGGAATAGAGGAGTCAGATACAAATCCCCTGCATTGTCACTGTCGCCCACTCCTGGGGGTTCTGACTGCCCAGTGGACAGCCTGCTGCTAGGTGCAAAGGACGCGCTGCGCTCAGGGTCCTGCAGCTATTAGGTGACACAGTGAGACTCCCGCTCCAGCTTCCACTCCAGAGTCCTGGCTTCCTCTCCTTTTTCCTCTGCATCCTGCTGCCTCCTGGAGGCTGCAGCAGGCAAACCTAACAGTGGGGGCTGAGAAAGTCACATGAAGGCCAGTGAGGGGTGACTGACAGGAAGTGAAGAGCAGATGATGAGTAACAGGAGTTGTTCTGAAAGAAGCAGAGCTTTCTGAGGCAAGAGCTTCACCCGTGTGCTGGGCATCCGTGCCGTGGCTGCAACCACAGGCTGGCACTTTTGCCACCCTGCGTGGCCTCCTGGGGCTTCTCCAGACATCATGTGAGCAGTGAGCGGACTCACTGCTCAGCTGTGAGAGTGCCCGCCTTACCCCACCCGAGGCTGGGCCCAGGACGCCAGCTGCTCCTGCTTCCCAGAGAAGCGCCTCCCTCCCAGCTCCCACGAAGCCTATGGGAGCTCTCAGCGCATGCCCGGCGATACACCCTTGGCAGCCTGTGCATCCTTGTGCCCACCAACACTCCTTCCTGTCCCGAAGGAGAGTTCCTGGAAGATGGACTTGTCCCTGTCCCTGTGTTGCCTCTGCACTCACAAGGCTCAGAGAACAGGGCCTGCCACAGGAGTATTGTATAAATGCAGATCCTCGCTTGGTCAGACCAGCAGGAGATCTGAGGGCCTCATCTCTACGCCGGCTGTGTCTGGGGAAGCAGGCATGGGCACTTGCTGTTTGGCCCTGTGGTATTCTCCCAGCAGCGCATAGCACAGGAGGTCAGACAGACTCAAGGGCATCAACTGGTCCGTGACACCAGGGGATAACAAAAGAGCAGGCTGCCACACCCTGGGGCCACTCCTCGCCTCCGGTATGGCTGCGACTGCCCCTTCCGCTCTCCTGCGATCAGAGCCTCGGTGTCAGCAACTGCGGGGCACGTAGCTTACTAAGTGTCGGGTGCTAACTCTGTGCAGCACCTGAAATGGGGATCCAGCAACAATGCACGCGATCGCCCCAGGGTGGCAGAGCATTCTCATTCTGTGTGGCATCCCTCACACATTCTGGCAAAGGGGCCCGCGCTCACCACCTCATATGGGGACAGATTTCCTTGCTGGGTTAGTCTATGGGAAAATTCCTCTTCCCTGCCATGGGAATGTGACCCTGTGACTGGGCGTCCTTGACAGCTACGGGTGTGCGCGCACCTGCAGGGTCTCCCTCCCTCACAGAGTAACCAGAGTCCCGCCTCTGCAAATCCACCCAGCTCTGGCTCTGCAGCACATCTGGGCTTTCTCCTAGTGGCCACTGCCGAAGGCCTGTGCACCTGCATGTGATTAGGGCTCAGCAGACGCCTACAGCCTCACAGTTGACGGCTGAGCAGTGGTGACGTGTCCCAGGGGACGAGTTCCTCCCCAGCAGATGAATGTAGGTCCGGGGACACGGGCCCCATGGAGCCAGAACCCCACTGGGAACCACCCTCAGCTGCATTTTCACCTTGGCCTGCATGAAGATGAGCAGACTTCAGGGGCAGCCTGGGGACTAGCAGGGCCAGAGAGGAAGAAGAGAACCGTAGACGCCCCTGGCATCAGTCACTGCACTGCATGCCCTTAGTCTTGATCTCACCAGTGTTTGGAAAACAGGATAAAATGTTAAATGCTGCTGCTGAGCTTCCTTTCTCCCTGTAGCTGCCCTTTCTTTACTGAACATGGAGATCACTAGCTACAAAAGGCCGGGACAGGCCAATCACAGACTGAAAAAAGGAAAAACTGCCCTACAACTGTAATAAAGCATGACAAGACTACACTTTTCCATGGCAGGGTCACAGCTCATGCATTTATTGTACCTGCCAAATGACTCAGTTAAAAGGGAAGCACAACTCTTCTTCCAGTAAAACATTCTTCATTTAGTAGTAATGAAATTCAGGAGCAGAACAAGAACATCATTTACCAGAGAGAAATCCACATGACCGCGGGGACTTGGGTTAACACCGCAGGAACACAGGATTCGGAGTGGACGCGTGCGCCATCACTGACGAGGCAGCGGTCACATGACAGCCTCATTAACCCAAGAAAGAAACCCTCAGGATGTCCTTAGTGAGGACAGGGCTGACAGCTCCCCACAACTGCAGCTGTCACTAACCCCTGCCCAGAAACCCTGAAGGGGCAACGCACCAGCTTTCTCCTCCCCCTGCTGGGGAGTCGGGTGTTAGCGTGGGGACAACCAGGGGCTCTGTGTGCGAGAGATGCCGAGGGGTCCCCGCGTCATCACGTCCTTGTCTCAGGCAGGGCTACACAGAAGTGGCCCATCAAGCTCAGCATCAGACTGAGCTGGTTTCTCGGAAACCTGTCACTCGTCCTGCCCAGGAAGCTGCTCCAGCTGACTTCACACCTTGGGAGTCCAGGGGAGGGCCCACACTTCCTAGAGCAAGTCGGTCCTACCGCGGTGGGGAGCATAGAGAGACCGGAAGCCTTCCCCTTCCTCCCCGGTCGGCAGTGAACGCTCGCTCTACAGCTGTGACGCTCACCTCCCAGAGACTATGTCTCTGCATTTTGGCCCTCTTCTCCCCTGAACCCAGGTTGGTTTTTTACCTTCCTGTGCCATGTGGGGCCGCACAGGGTGTCCTTTGCCATCTCACAGCATCGAGACCCAGGGGGCAGCAGCTCCCTGCGGGGCCTCCGCCGCCCGACTGAGACACTGAGGTGGTCGGCATTCAGACCAGCAGGGCCAGGCCTGTGTGGCTGCCCCTGCTTCACTGCAGCCATTCCTGGTCCCCAAAAGCTTGGCTGCTGTTCTCAACTGCAGGGCAGGACGGCACTGAAACAGAAAGGCCAGATCACAAAGGCAGAAAGACCAGTCAGGAGCAGCTTTCTGAATAAAATATTTAATCAGCGCTTCTGTACAAAACATTAGAATGGTTAATGATGAGGATACAGCATGTTTAACAAAAATATATACTGCTATGTAACAGACAGGAAAAATAGAGTCTGCTGTTTTACAAGCCATTTACATTTCAGTATGTACAATCTGTTTAAACTTGAAATACATATACACACGGATTTATACCTGCCCTCGAAGGCTCCCCTGTGGGGTGGCCTGGTCAGG